TGTTATTATTACTGCATTTGGCTCTTGGTAGGACTGATCAGACTTCATGAAAGGAATATGTTGTTATAAACCACACAAATGCTTCCTCTCTAATAGCCGCTCTTTAGTGCAGGCACATGAATTTGCTGTTTGTGGTTTTAGGCCAGGCGAAGGAGTGCGTTTGCTCTCCTAGTGAGCTGGCTGGTCACTTTACAGAAAATGAGCTTCTGCCTCCTGACAGCTCTTGTACAGAGCTGTGTTCCTTTCGGTATGTCAGGGAGAGGTAGAGTTGAGCAGGGAAACAGTGCTCTGAGTGGCTTCTCCATAGACTGCTCCTTGCCAGCCAGGATTATGCTTTAACATTTTAATTTTTCTCATTACTTTTTCAAGCCTGAAGGAAATTCACCATTTCCCTTCTTTCCACAAGCTTCGCTTGCACTCACTGTGCAGAGTCATTGAATCTATAGGAATAGATCAAAGCTACTCCTTTTGACCTTCTGAAATATGAAGACGCTGACTGTGATGCATTATTTTTAAATTGCCTATTAAAATTTAAAAAGATTTCCAAATGTATTTAATAATTCCCTAAAACAGTCTAAGGACATCTGTTAAGGTATTGAATTTCCTTAAAGACGGCACTGGTTGTGATTGCTTCAGCTGCACATTGAAGTTGTTAGTCAAAATGCTTTTACTGTTTTAGTCTTTGATCTAGGAGTTTTTAGCATCTTTTCCAGAGTGAGCCAGAGAAAGACACCTAGTGAGCTGTTAGGGTTTGTTTTGCCGTGCGTTCAGCCTAGTGAACAATCAGTCGATACCTTTTGCAAAACCTCCTAAGTCCTACCGAATAGCTCAGTGCTTAGTGAGGAAACAAACTGTTCTGACATATTTTTGCCCTTTTCAGATTCTTTATTGTGTAGCCTATGTCCAACTTTTTAACATATTGGGTAGCTGTGGCAAGCTTTTTTGTGTCTGTGAATATCTGCATTATTGTTAGACCATTAGGCCTGTTAATGAAGGGCTGGAGTAACAGGCAGAATTTTGTAGGATGAAGGATTTTCCGCAGAGGTGAATGGCAAATTTGTGGTTCACTGGAAATGGATCACTAGGCTAAATAGTCCTTAACAGATCCCAGCCTCAGCTGTTCCCCCAGCTGGAACTAAAGCCCAGTGCAGAGTGAGATCCTCAGCCTGTGTTCTGCCAGGAAATCAGGCAGAAGGGGGAAAATTGCATCCCGCTCCCATGGGTGTCTCTACCAGAGTCTCTCCAGCAATCTGATCAACATAACCATGGGAAAGAAACAATAATGTAAAAATCGTGTTGGAAGGAAGGCGAATGCTAAGGGCGTTTGTGAAGTTGCATAGGAAGTAAAATGAGCGGCTGTGGCTCAGGAGGGTGCTATGGGATGGCTAAGTTGCACAACCTGGTGACACTGCACCGTACCGAAGTTAGCTGATAGCCCTTGTGAAGAGGGCAAAGCTGTAACAGCCAGGCCTGGGCACGAAGATCAAGCCAATGCCAGCATCTGAAAGCAGTGTGTGCTGCTGCTCAGAAAGGTGTGGGGATATTGGTGGTGGAGGGGAAGAACAAATGACAGAAGAGATTTCCCAGCACCTGCAGGAAGTGAAATATGTTGCATTATTGAGTGACTGGCAGTATCAGATATACTTTATTTTAAATGTGCCTTCCTGAAGAACAAGGTGGAACATTTGAGAGAGGAACAGGTAGACAAGCAGAAAGACTAGATTCCCTGAATCCAAAAGAATACCTAATCCTGTTTTTAGTTCACTTCAGTTTTCTTTGAATCAAGTCCAAGAATAAAATGTTTCATATCGTCAATGTTACTTATCTGGAACGATTCAGACCTGGATTGTTGCATATTATACTTTGTAAATATGGATATGTCTCATATTTACGGTGTTACAATTAGTCAGATTTGGTTATTTATTGCATGCCAGTATTCTAACTCTAGGTCTATCGAATTATGTGACAATTTGTGAAAATTACTGTACATAATTATTTTTATTGTGGTGATGATGCCATATTGATCTAAACTTCCGTTTGCTGAAGTGCATCAGAATAATTTTGTATCTCGCTAACATGAAATAGTAATAAAAGTGAAAGGTTTCCCCTTTTCAGTTACTATTTCTAACTGAAGATGTGTTTTAAGAACTTTTTCTGTTTGCTGTGTGGTTGAATGAAGTTGGTGTTATCACTAAGCCTGTAGTTCTGTGTGGGAGAGGGGTCTCTTTTGTTACCTTTGTAAACAGAAGATGGTGGACACCAAATCTGCAGAATTTTCAGCAAGAGGGAATAATTTTTTGCAGCTCTTCATTTCTTAATGGAAGAAGAATTATGGAAATGAGAATGGGCATTGCATTAAGTGCTTGAAATGTTCTTTCCCTGCAGACCAATAAAAACATAATTCTTCCATTAGGGAAATTTAGTTTTTTGAAAGCTGCATGAATCAGAGCTCTGAATCAGTGAATGAGATGACTCTGCTGGGGTAAGCATTTCAGGATCTGATTATGTATTTTAAGACTTCTGTAGGTGGATACCACCTCTTGGCTTGTCTTGTAAGACTACTTTGGTGCAACTTTTTCTGCAACTCTTTTTAGATTAACTGCTTGACTTATCTTGCAGTACTTTTTTAGTGCAATCTTTTATTATGCAGATCAGTGATGGAGTTTGAAAACCAATCGCTCACGTAGATTGAATGATTCTTCCTTCCTTAATTCAGACCAGAAGACTTCCTAGTCATTTCAAAATGCTCTACTTGCATAGCTCTGTAAACAAAAGTCAAGTACTACAGGTCAAAAATGGGACCTTTCTGTACTTTATATAATGTGTCTGTAGCCTCACCTCTGACTATGCGTTCATACAGATTGTATCTGTCTGCCTTTATATCTTCCATTGTGTCAGTGTGAAACTGAAAATGTGGCAGTAAAATGCTATCTCTAGAGCTGTTCATATTAGGTCCCTAGTCAGGACTGTGGGGAACCTAATGCCAGAGCAAGCAGATATTTAAGTGAAGCCATCCTTTTTTCTATCTTGTTAACAATAAAAGAGTAGTTAACGTTAATTTTTAGGAGACAGAGACACCAGGATCTTCTGAAACTTGTACGAGGTCAGGCAATGAATAAGAGGAGTTCGTCTTTTCATTTTCATTTTTTTATATTATAGTTTATCTGTAAATCAACTGAATGTAGCATTAATGGTCTAATTATAACTGTTCAGCTAGATCTCATTTGCCCCTTTTTTTGCTGGAAGGCTGATCTCATGGGTGCAGGTAGCACAGATACTTAACCACAAATGTAGTTGTTGTGAATTTTGTTCACATGGTTCTCTAAGGTTTATTTTCTGCAAACACTGCTGTTGGGAATGGTTTACTCATCACCAAAAATGATCGTTGAGGCTCCAGTCCATCACAGGACTGCAGTGAGTGTGTTTCTGTGCTCGTGTTAGGTTATGTTTTATATGCAGGTAACCTCGTCTTTTTGCAATGATCCAGGGAAGTGATATCTATACAAATATTAGTTATACTTTTTGCCTCCTCAAAGGCAAAAGAGATCTACAAGGTTCCACATCCCCATCCTGACCTACAAGGTCCCCTGAGCATTATTCCCTCCAAATGGAAGGAAATTCAAACACTGGAAAGAGACTTTGTTATAAGAAGCACGTAAGACATACAATTTTCAAATCCTCACTATTATTGTTCCTGTTATACCTCCTCTACTGATCCTATGGCTTAGTCAGTTGATGAATTTTTACTAGCTGCCCACTTCAGAGGTTATGACTAGAAGCTGGTAGTGAATTTCCACCTTACGCTTTAGATTTTTGGGTGATTTAAGTTTGGGTGATTATAAGTTGGGGTAACCCTGTGTCAGTGCCTTAGGTGGCTAGCAGCCCTCGAGAAACCAATTGTGTGAACTGGGGCTGCCTGGAGGAAACATGAGCTCTGAGATGTCTTGCATGCATTTGCGTACAGAAGGGGCTAGATGGTTTTTCCTGTGGGTTTTGTTTGGCTTCGTTCTGTGAGTGCATAACCTGAAAAGGATCATGCCAAGTAGTTGTGTGGTTCCTCTATTTTAACAGCTGCTCTAGCTTTTTTCCCAGAGGTATATTTAAAATATAGACGTAGGCAGAAATCTATGTGATAAAGAGGGGAGTGGGGAAGACTTCATGTCTTGTGGCTCTCCATAGAGCCTGGTGGGATGAGTCCAGTCTCAAGTGGTGCACGCTGACATCCCAGTTCAGATGGTGAGCATGCTACATGCCAGATGGTCCACTGGTAAGTACATTGAGATGAAAAGCACTTTCACCGTGTTAATAAGGCTTTCTCACTTGCATCCTTCTGGGCATGGCTCACTTGCATCTCCTTGGGAGTACGAACATGGTAAAACCTGTTTAAGTCATCTGAAGCTGTACACAACATTGCAGATTTGACTATGAAATGCACTGCTGTAATCAGCAACCATCCCAGAACACCTTGGAAAGCTTAGATCAGGTCCCATATCACCTGCATATCTTAAAATTACAGGTTGGTTAACTTTTACCAGCACTCAAGCTGACCATCTCTAAAACAAGACTAGTCTCTAGGACGTTCTTTGGGACAGATGGAGGCGTGGACGAGGGTTTTATCCTGGACAATAGAAATTAATGCAGCATCAGGGTCTCAGCAAACTCCCCTTACACAGGTATGTTTGGAGGCTGTGTGGAAGGCTATGTGAAAAGAAATCTGCCTTTATTTGTGTATTCATGCCTGTATTTGTGGCTGCTCCTTCCGGATAGGCTCATTTCTGTTCCGGGTTAGATCAGTAACGTGCGGGGATTAGATATGCAAAAAGCAACATGTAAGGACACAAACTCAGTAGCCTACTCTTCAAACACGTGCCCAACCTTGCAAGCGTTATAATGAGAGCCCAGAGGAGCCATAGGTAAACCGTGCGACAGGTTTCTCATGCATGTGGCTGTCGCACAGCCTGGCACCCTTCTCACAGGCTTCTCTTGTGTTCCTATTGCAGGGCAACCCACTGTACTTCCAGTCTGCCAGAAACGTTACGGTGAACATCCTCAATGAGAAGACGAAAGTCCTAACTCGTCTTGTAACAGGTAAGGAGGAGGAAAGACGATAGGAAAGAATTAAGGAGACGTGAAACATAGTGAGCTGTGGAGTGCTGCACGAGTTTGAGGTGGTGTACAGGAGGGAAGACCAGGTATCTAGTGAAGTACAAATGAAAACTTCGCTCCACTTTGTAGAAACAAAGCTACAGACATGAAAGCTGTGCTGGAGAGGCAGCTGGCTGGTGCTTTCTGATAATGAAGCAGACCATCATTTTCATTTGAAAGCCAATCCAGAGACAGAAAGGTTAGTTGTATGGCTTCAGGGTCAAGAAGAACATATTCTGGCTGACATTTCTTTCAGAATAGGCACAGGGTTCTCCTGAAACACTTCTAACTTGCCTAAGATCTCAGGAACTCTTCTGATTAACTGTGGCTAGGTTTGGACGCTGCAATTTAGAGCTTTCTAGGCCCAAAGCCCTTCTGTTGATAAAGAACTCTCATGCTCCCAACCATTAGTGCGTTTAATGGGGAAATGGGTGTTTCGTAAATCCCCAGTGCACAGAGGCCTTTGAATTAATACATTCGTAATTTGGGTTAAAAGAGCCTAATGCATTATACATGTTAATATGTAATATCGCATCTGTATATTTATTTATTTATTTAGGTTTACCTAGGGACTGGGAGTAGTATTGCTGTGTGGCAGATCTAGTAATCCATAAACATGCTGTTTCTACATGAGACTGGATTGTCTGGCTTGCTTATATAACATCTTGGCCTCTAGTCACAGTGTTAAATAATTAAATACGCAGCTTCAGTAAGCAACAATTTAAGCGGCATGCATGAAAACTGCCTTGAGGAAGGAAATAAATTCAACCCCAAGCGCCCAGATTCTCACATTCAAAATGAAGCTGTTTAGTTTGTTGGTTTGCCATATATTTTCAAGAGGGTGTTTGGTTCATTTAAGTGCCTCCGTTTCATGAGAGCTTGGGAAGACCTAGCCAGTAGAAGAAACAGCAGCACTGTATTATGTGCACACACATGCTTATATAAAGAATGTTCAGAATGAAGCATAGGCCAAGTCAACGCTGTGATGAGAAATGGCACAGCGGGCAGGTTGTTAGTGATGTAGACCTAAGTGAAAGACCTTGGGTCTCATTTCTGGAAAAGATTATATCTTTCCTGTTTTCCAGCTGCTCGATTTGGGATTACAGGATTTCATTCAGGACACACTTGCTTGGAGCATGAGTACCCAGCTGTGCTCACCCAGAGCCATAAAGATTGTCATAAATGCCTATTGCATTTTCTAAGCCCTGCTAGATTATGTGACATTCCATAATAAAATAGGACAACCTTCCCTAAGAAAGGAAAAGATGACAAAATACAATGATGTCACTAATCAAGTATAGTAGCCCCCTGTTCATCTTTTGTCCCGCTTCTGTGTAAATGCCTCAGACAAATGAAACAGAAAATGGAATCTCAGGTGCAAGGGCAGTGCTGCAGAGTGGGAAGGTGGACCCTCCAGCTCAAGGGCTTTTCCCTGCTTGTTCTCTGTCACACCTCCAAGTGGAGGCTTCCCCATCCTAAACAGCCAGAGTGATTCCAGGTCCAAAACAGTGTCACATGTAATGCACAGTTTGTTTCCATTTTGGCCTTTCTAGTGTTAAACCCCCGTGCTGAAATCTGCCCATTTGTCTCTGCAGGCCGTTGCCTCTCAGCGTGTTGTCGTGGTTATTAAGCTCATTTCTGCATTCTGCAGCAGCTCTGGTTTTGGAGTGAAGTGAAGATGTAGTTCCATGTAGAGTGCACTGCAGTGATGAGTAGGGAGGCAGTTAATTAGCAAGATACAAAGCAAACTTAAAGCTGCCCAAAAGTATGGGTTTTTCTTGGAATGGCTGCAGAATATTTAAGTGTTTCTGCAGAATTCAACACCCAGGGATCTCAGCATAACCTTACTTTTCTACAGTCCAAACTGTGCACACAATTCTGTGCATGCTCTAATGCTAGTACAGGTGACCTGTGCAGGCGAACATGGGATGCAGAGTTAGAAACTGCCTATAAGAAAATGCTGATTTTCAGGGTCACGTTTCTCTCCTCTTTTGAGGAATGAGACGAGTCAGGAAGAGGAGAGGAATAATGCTAAGTCCAATCAGCTACCTTGTGTGGTAGCCTATTCCAGGAAGGCTTTTGGTTTGGAATAGGCTGCATAGGGACTGTTGGATGGTGATTTGTATGAAGTTTAGCCTAGGTCAGGTAACAGAAGGGCCTGCTCTTCTTAGCCTTTGAGCCACAGACCTGTACAGAATTGCCATTCAGGCAGCTAATGATTATCAGGCTTCACAACAAAATGCGTTGCCAGAGGCTTTTCAATACTGGGCTGCACAACAACCTTCAGGAGAAGCAGCAGAATTAAAACTTTCCTTCTTAGCTCTTATTTTACTCATCTAAAAACTTTCTGAAACGTGAGATACCCTGCCGTTCGTCTTGGCTTGTGCAGGGGAGAAGTCCGTTCCTCTGTGGGGGACTCAACTTTTGGCAGTGCCAGGACGGAAACCCTCAGCATTTTCCAGGACTTGCTCTTAAACGTGCAATTTTGAGTTGGACTATGCATGACACTACTATCATTTTAATCTAGGCGTATTTAACAGGCACAAAACCAAGAATCTTTTACACCACAGCACTGGTCCTCGCAAAACGTATTCAGGAAGCGGTCTTGATTCCTTCTCCAGCTGTACCACTGCACTGAAAGCACGATGATACATTCACTGCTATTTCACATGTGGGTGTTTTTGTAAGAATTTCCCAAAGTATGCAAAACTTCATGGTAATTTTATGACATACATAAGTGTTAACAAAAATATAAGTAGAAATAGTTGAAGTGTTATTTGGGTAGGAAATACTGCACTTTCTGAAGGAGAGATCACCCTTGACTTCTACAGACCTCACTGTTTGATGTGTCGGATGCAGGTTGTATCTGCAGAGTTATTAGGATAATGTCAGCAGATGGGCTTATTAAATGTAAAAAGCTACTTTGTGATTTTCATATACTTTTCACTACGACTTTGTGCTAAATCTCTTCTCCCCTCTAGGTCCCCAAGCAGTGGAAGCACACAGCCAAAAATTTGAGGTGAAAACCCTCTCTGGAAAATTGCTGTTTTCTGCAGATGACAACGAAGTGGTAGTTGGAGCAGAGAGATTGAGAGTTTTAGGTAAAAGTTTATTGACTAAATCACTATTTTAATACATGTCTCTTCAAATTTTAGAATAGTTTTGTCTAACTTCCCTTTGCACTTGTGGAAAACTTCTTTTGGCGGTAAAGCCCTTCACTGTCTTTATTGCTTTGAATCTTCTCCAAGCAGATTAAGGCCAGGAGTTTGTATCTATCTGAGGCGTTTCTTAACCTGCACTACATGTTATTTCCCCTGCAGAGAAAACTGCTCTAGAAATGGTTTGGCTGGCTCGTAAAACAGTATTAAAACCAGCTTTGGAAACTAAACTGCTTTATCTCTCAGGTCTGGGATGAAGGGCAGTGAGGGATCACTATAAGGCTGCTTCTGTGGCTGCAGTCACTGTCCCTGTGTGTGGGGAAATCTTAGACTTCATATTTTTCATCTCACCACTCTCATGATCTCTACCTTCATTCTAAAGCAAACATTAAGGAAGAAAAACTGCAATGAAAAGTCAATATGAATTAGGATCTCACATTAATTCTCTGAACAGCTTGGTGGCCTTTGTATCAGCTAATCTGTCCTTAGCAGCATGTGAGAACATGCTTTGAATCTCTTGAGCCATCTTCAGCTATTCTGTGGGTATGGTTAAATGTCCTGGGAGAGCTGGTCACTGCCACCACTTCCCTGTCTTCCTGTAAAGGCAGATGGGGGACGTGGAGCTCTCCTTGTGCCGGTGCAGGATCTGGCTCCCCCAGCTTTCCTGTTCTGTGTTTGCCAGCTAGGCTTCACACTGGTAGTTCCTAATAGAAACTGGGGCTTACCCTTTGGGTTTGGGGAGTGCAGGTTGTTTATCAGGTTTTTTGAACTAGAGAAGAGAGACAGTTAAGGTAATTCTAGTGTTTTTAAAATATCTTTTGTAGATGTGTGAAGTTACATCTCAGCAGCTTTAATTCTCTTGCTCTCCAGTTCAATCCATGCTCCTTGGTTATTTTAAGTTTTGCTTGTGAATGTCTTCATGTAGAACTAGACTGGGTAGCTTTATATTGCTGGTAGTAAATCACATAACAGTACCACTGGCCTCAGTGGATAAACTGATAACTGTCTTCCAGCAGCTTGATTTGGATGCCCCTGTTCACTCCAAATGGTCTATATTATTATTATTATTATATAGTATATGGTATATATACTCTATATTATATACTAAATAGCACATTATTAGTGTAATAATGAGTATACTGTAAAATACTGCATATATGTGTAATATTATGTAGTATATGGCTCATTATTATTATATATGATATAAGCTTAGAATGAGGGTCTCAGAGTAATCCATTGTGGGTGGTACTTCAAATCCAACCCTTAACACTTTTTGTTACTGATGTCCTGATATTCTAGATGGTTTCCTGTTTGTAAAAAGACCAGTTACAGCTCTTTAAAGTGGCCAGTTGCTTTTGGCATATGCTGGACCAGTTCAGTCATCAGGTATACTAAAGTTAGGTGAGTTTTAGGTGAGGATAAACGCAAAATTAATAGTATCTCTTTTGAAAGTAAACTTTGAAAAGGACCATTCAAAATTCGTGCAGTGTTTCAGAGCTGTGAAGGATTTGTCACTATCTGTGTTCTGCCACAAATCTCCCTTCGTGCTGCACTTTTCTGAGCTATTCAGTCATCTAGTCTTTGTGCAGGGTAGGTGATTTCAGGCAGCAAAGATTTTTAGGTGTTTTCCTGGAGATGTCAAATGAGAGATATTTTTAGATCGTTTGGTCTTTTACAAAATACAGAAACTGTTTTTTACACGTTGCGAGTACTCCTTTTTGGATTGCATACAAAAATATTACAAGTTACCTTTTGCTTTGGAGAAGCCAGCAATTATTTCTGATAGTTTCTGCCTTATTTTAGTCTCCCATGTAAACAGCACTGGAAAACCTGCTTACCACTGTAGTGCACTTCTACTTTGATTTGCAACTGAATGTTTTTCAGGGTTTATCAGCTTTATGCAGAGCTATCAGGAAAGTTATGATGGTATCACAGATGATATTGCATGGCGAATATTGCAGTGACCTTGAGCTGAAATGCTTTGAGTTCATACTTGGCTTTGTTTTTCCTCCAGTTTTGCTCCTCCAATCTAATTATATCTCCAAAAGTAGTTGCCACGGCTGTTTGCCATGCTGGAAAGTGTAATACCATATGTTCCTATTTCTTTCAGGCTTTTTTGTCTGCACTTGAGGCTAGTCCAACTTGTAATACACAGGCAGATTCTTTTGATCATTTTCCAGTGTTTGGGATCTCAGGTGCTGCTGCTATGTGTCTGCTGACACTTATCTGCACTATGTAAATAGTCTTGACTTGTTCTTTTTATTGCTAAACACTTCCTTGTTACAGAAGGAAGTATATGTCTGTAATGTGGCATGAGAGTCGTCTTACAGAGGTCAGAGCCACAGATATTGGACTTGTGGCTAGCTTTTAATCTTGTTAATGATAATTTTTCAAAGTTAATTTTGCAAGTTTGTTCTACAAAGTAATGCTGAAGCCTTAACACAAGGAAATATGTGCTTTCTTTTTTGAAATGGGTTCTCTGCTTTGTACCGCTAAAGGCTTTTCCAGCATTAGGAAGGCATTTTAAAAAAAAAAGGAGAGCTGCATTGAATGATGGAACTGAAAAATGGATACCAGTAGGACATATGTTGTATTTAACAGGGCTTCAAAAGTTGCACTGCATGTGTACTGCAGACTACAAAATGAAAATACCTTTTATTTTATTTGTGTTTTGGTAGTCTATTTCTGGCTTTTAACCGTTAAAGGACACAACAAGACAGAGTTGATCCCTTTTGCTTTTCATGCACTGTGTAATTTGGAGTACTTCAGTGATTTGATTTGATTTAATGAATCCTGTCAAGCCTGTCTTTATAGGTGAGATTGGAGGATAATGAGAACTGCTGTGTGAGGTCTAGGGCAGCTGCTGAGCCCTTTTGTCCTGGTCCCCTCTGACAGCATCTGCAGGACTTGTTCAGACATGCAGCACGAGTTCCTTCTGCCCACACTCAAAACTGGCAGGAAACTCAGCAGCTACGCGAGTCCAGACAGCTCAGAAGGGGGTCATGTTTGCCTACAAAGCACGTGGAAACTGAGCCTTTTGCCAAATCCTCCTACCCTTTTGATTCTAAGTTCGTCTGTCAGGGCCTCTGGTTGCCCAGCCATCTCCTGTGCTCTCGCAGAGCAGGAGGATGGTAGCACGTCACTGCTTGTAGCACCTTTCTCTTACAGGCCTCATCACCATAGTCTTTGAGTGCCTCCTGGGCTGCTAAGGTGCCAGATATCTCTGAAGCGGGGCAGCACCATCTCCTAATGCTGCAAGCAAGAACCTGGGCCACAACCAGAACAAGCGTGCCTCTTAAGGTCTCAGAGGATCAGAGGCAGATCGAGAACTAAGCCAGGCTTCTGAGTTACTACTGTAAATCTCAGAGTGTTTCCCTTTCCTCTGAACTGGGACTCTTTTGATTTGGTTTTGCAGAGTCTAGATTTTCAAGGCCGCCTTTTCCCCCCAAAAACTAGCCTGGCGCTATTCACAGTCATGTGCAGCATGAAGTGCCGGAGCTGCGCCAGCAAGCGTTCCCTGTGCTCGCTCCTGCCACGCTCAGCACTGTACTTTGGCAGACACCAAGTAGATGCAAACTAATGCCTATCTGGATATCCCCTGTGGGCTCAGACTCATGTGTTCTGCATTATGAGACATGAATGAACTGGTCTTAATTGAATTCACATGTTTTACGTTATACAACAGCTCCCCATCGCTGCCTCCTCCCTCCTTCCAGAAATAAAACACGTTCAGATCATCTGAGAAATGGTGTATAAGAAATACTCCTTAGTTAACAGAGCATTAAAAAATAACTTTGATATACATTGATTACTAATTTCATTTAACAGCATATTGAATGTTACAGCATTTATAAACAAAGGACAATCATAAAGCATTATTCTGACTGTTAATTAGCTCTATTTATTCTCTAGATTAGTTTCTAAATATGCCCTCTAGATGCCACTTGATACTAATTAACAGAGTAACATTATTATCTCTATACAAAAGTATTTTTAATTAAATCTAAAGCGATTTAAATTAGCATGAGTTTTTACAGAAGTTCAACTCTGGTCAGAGACTTAATTTAGCCTTATGAGACAACATCTGATGACATGCCAGTGTCAGTTCTCCCAAGAGCCTTGACATCTTTTTGGAAATTATATTTTGAAGTTAGTTTTCAGGGAAACTTGCCAGAATACTCTGGTGATTAATATTTATGATGGATTTATGAGCTGATTTTTTTTTTTAAGACTAAATGTTGCTAGGAATCCAGATGCATCACAATGAGCTAAGATTTAAAAAGAAAAAAAAAAGGATATATTTCTGTGGCTTGCAGGAATTTGCAGTCCCTGGTTTTGAGTGGTAGAGGAAAGTTTGTGTGTTAGGATTGGATGGGCTGGATATTGTGCAGATCAATCATACTATTTAACCACTATGAAGATTACCACCTTATCTTACTGGAAGACCACCAGGCCCCTTTCCTATAGCAGAAGGATACCAGGTTTACTCCCCAGCTAATGGGTCCCACGCTGGACTTGGTCCTTGGAAAATGTGGCTCTCATTTAGGCATTTGTAACATCAGTTCTTCTTCAAATATGAGATGATAATAAGGACTAAATACTTGGAGGGATGGCTTTCATCTCCCAATATAAAGACTGCAGGAGAGGTGTGCCCTGTCTGCCGTGCAGTTGGCAGTCCACCTCAACACCCATGCTGGCTAAAACTCACCTTCAGCCTTGCTAACCGCTTCGCGCCCTCCCTTCAAATCATTAGGCTTTAGCTCCCCTTCTACTTCAGTTCCCTCGCTGGGGACCTGTAGCAGATTCCCCTGGGCTCTATCTGTCTCATTCTATATGTTGAGTATGCAGGTGTTAGTAGCTGCATACTCATGGTTAGACTTCCCGAAATGTTATTTTGGGAGTGGTTTCTGTTCTAGTTTCTCTTCAGGAAGGTGCCTGGGAAT